GATGGATGGATGGATGGATGGAACTTCATTTCTGGACATTTATGGTTTGATTTCTTTGTATGTATGGATCATTTGGGTTGTTACCGACATCTGGTGAAAATTTCATGTCGTTAGCACCTCTAGTAATATATTTACTGAGAAAAATGCTGATGTGTTCAATACTTATTTTACCCGCTGTATGTGTATGTGTGAGTGTGAGTATGTGTGCCATTTCGTGTCATGACAGCCTCTGAATGTTTGATGTGACCACTAGTGTGAGGACGGGATCTGGAGTCCAGGGGTCAGGAGGGTGTGCTTTGACATACTGAGGAGACAGAGTCACAGTCGAGGGAGACTCCTTGATGTTTGTCCTGTCAATAGCTTTCTTTGGGGGAATATTCTGTCTCAGTTTTTGTGGAGGGGGGTGGGGTCGTCCGTCTCACCCGGCTCCAGTTTGTCTGTGAACCTGGGTGACAAAGAATGGCTCGGCCCTCAGACTGCTTGTGTTTGGTGTCTCAGAGAGTTCAAACGCTAGACTGAACTGATGCCATTAGAATGTCATTTTATTGGGCCACCTACGGGTGCCTGGAGATTCGGGTTCATCGTGCATAATGGTGTAATACATGAATAGGTATTAGATGTTACAGAGGATTGATAGAAAGCACAAGCATGTGGAGTTCTGGGCAGGTAGCCCAGGAAAAACAAAACATGCCAAGTTTGACTTTTACACCATGAGAGCTCTGGCTCTATTTTATTCTTGAAGGAGACAGTTTTCAGCTACTTTCACAAAGACACTAATYTCTTCTAGTGTCATGACATAAATCAATTGTTGAGGACACATACACTTCAAAAGTTCAATAAAATCAGTAAAATTTCTCTATTTGCCTCACTACAATTGAGAAAAATGCATACACTCATCATGATCATAAGACAATTTTAATTTAGCAGCTTAAATGATTATTTAAATTTTCCAGGATGGAATGAATATACAACACACAATTTCAGTATAACTTGTTTTTTAAAAAACAATAATTATGGTATAAATCTTTTGCCAGCAAGAATTGAATTTGAATTGCCCAGATTGAATCTGAATGTGTATAATTTGAAATTGAATGTATTGGTTCGACACTTACTAAATTGAAACTGAATTTAATGATTTGAAACTGAATTTTAAGTTTTGTATCTGAATTCATTTGCTATGAAACTGTATTTTAGTCTGTTAAAATTTCAGCTTGACTTCTTTCACTTTCAGTTCCATGATTTAATTTCAGTTCTAAAATTCAGATTTTTTGTGTCACATCCTGGTCCTTGAGAAAGCCAGCCAGAGTAATCAAACACAGATCCACAGATTTATGT